ACAGGACGCCTGCCCCCGGGCCGCTCCCGCCTCTGCGCCGCCTCCCGCACCTCCCTCCCGCCCCGCAGCCCTCCCCTAAGCCATGTGGAGCAGCGAGCCGTGGACAGACGTTAACGTAGCACTTTTAATCCCTTAAAAAATACAGTGAATGCAAATCGCATCAACACGAGCAGCAGTTTCACCCACTCAGCTTGGGTTTGTAAGGCACTGGCGTGTTAAAAACTTATTTTCAGACAATAGTGCAAACTCACCAGCGCCCCACGGGCAATATTCAGCGCTTTTTCTTTCAGACTCATACTTGGGTGCCAACCACGTGTGACAATCCCCAAGCGGGGGGCGAGTGTGCCCCGACATCCTCCAGAGCGAACCAGAAGCGAGGCGGGCAGCCCTGCGGGGCCGAGTGGGAGAGAGAGCAGGCCCGGACACTGCCTCCCGGCCCGCTCCGGCCTGCCTCCCCACACATGGCAGCTCCTACAAACCTGCCGGCATCGCACTCAGCGCCAAGGCAAAGATGCTCCAGGGAGCTGCCATGCCGGATTCGCAGCCTTGCTGGTCTTAGCAGCACTTACAAGCAGGCAGCTGTGGAAGCATTAAAGGCATGTACAGGCAGGGAGAAACTGCCCTCCAACAGGGCTCTGGACCCACAGAGGAATATCCAGCCCTGCTAAGGAGATGCCCAGAAGCAGTTCCAGGCATAACCACCAACAGGTCCAATTCTGTTGTTTCTTCATGCTTACAAACTTCCCAAAACCATACAGATGTCTCATTTCTGTTGCACATGCTCAGAATGATTTCACATCAGACTATGGGCTGGTTTTGTCTATAAATAGTAGGTGTGTTATCTGAGGATGCAGGCACATTATTTCACTGCACTGGCAAGTGAAATATTAGATACTAGATATTAAGTGTTAAGGCAGATGCATTTCAGTGATGTGGGAGAAGGAGCAATGAAGGAGAGGGAAGTGCACAGGGAGAACAGCAAGATTACAGAAGGCAGGAAGAGAGAGCATCTGCTTCCAGAAAAACTAGCGCACAAAGCTGGATCTGGCAAGGACAATGGCATACAACATGGTTCCTTTGAGAAAGCCAAAGCAAGTTTTCATCCCAGTTCTCAGCTTGGATGAGTTACCTTCTACTTAAATTCACATTCAAAGCAGACCCAGCCTTAACACCACCATTCTTCCACAGCTTGTAATCCCATACTACACAAAACAGGAGGCCAAGACCTTCAACCAAGGTTAGAGGAGGGTGTTAAAAGGAAGCAGCTCTCATGTTATCACCTACTGTCATCCTCCAAGAAACCCAGTAGCTTATTTTCTGATGTTCTTTGTTCTCATTTAACAAACTTGAAACACCAACATCTTCATCTGTAATGTAACCTAACTCACATCACAGTTTACTGGATGTTCTAGGTGGCTTGCCCGTGAGGTGTTTGTGGAAGAAAGCTTGGATCTGCTGCCACGCATCTATCTGTGCCTCACAGTGTGCCTTGGGCTCCCCTCCCCACACCACAGGCTTCCCAACTAGCACATGCATTGAGGCTGCACACATTGGGAAAAAGGGGGGTTCAATGTAGTGACCTGCTCCAGGATAACAGAGTATCTCAGGCTTTTCCTTCCCGTGAGCTTGCAAATGTTTGCTCCCCTCAACTGCAAAGAATTCGCTTTTCCAGTTGCGATCATCCTGGCCAACAATGAATAAGAAGTGACACTCGGCCTTCTCCAAAGGGATAAAGCTTTGGCGGCCAGGCCCTTCTAGAGGGTTGTTCAGTACGTCGACAATATCAGCAATCCCGGACTCGTTGATCTTGATGCGTTTTACACTGAAACCAAGGGGCGGAATGGTGATGTCCTTGTAGCGGAGCACTGAGCCAACATTTGCCACAGAGCCATTGATAAGGGCAGTGGCTGTGATGCCCTTTAGGAAGGAGGCCATGGAGATACACAGCTCACCCCCCTTTGAGATTCCAAGTAACCCAATCCCAGGACCTTTAACCTGGAAAGGAGAAAAGATAAACCACAAGCAATGAATCACAACACGCCACTTGTTTAAAAAGTTGCCACATTTGCAGCAGTGTCTGTCCTGAATCTGGACCCCTCCTGTGTGCAGGGTCCACATCTGAAGGACCCTAGGGCCCTGTTCCATGCTTAATTTATGACCATAAGCCCTGTTGAGATCGCAACATCATCCTAACAAAGCTACAAGGCTCAGTGAGGATGAGGATGCTTCAGCTGTGCTTGCAAAAAGCATGCAGATGTGCAACCCCAGATTCATTTTGCTTATAAGACAGTTCAGGGAAGAAGAGGGAAGGAACAGGGTAAGCCTCTTCTACAAATGCCTTCTTTCAGTTCAAAATGCTCAATGACTATGTCAGCAATGACTATAGTCAGCAATGACTATGATACTGTCATGACTTATGATAGTGTATTTCTTATATTCAATCACTGTCTTTGATTCCCCTATTAAGAAGCTAACATGGGATAGCAGACTTCACATCAGCCGTTTCGATAGTATGCTTGGTTCTAACTGTCAGTGAAAAGGAAGTATTCTGAGTTAGCTTACTCGTTAAAACATATCTCAAAAAAAATAACCTATTAAAATAATTTTTCTAAGCAAATTGTAAAGTCCTCTGGACTCCATCTAGAATAGGTCACCTTCACTTTCTTTTACACTGGCAAATTAAGTAGAATAGGGAAGTTAAATGATTTTACAGGGTGCTGAAATCCTCTAAGGATATCGGAAGAAGGTTAGCTAATATCACAACTGCTCCAATATCCAAAGACCCTCGGAGGTAGAAAAGCTTTGAGACAGCATCAAAATGTAATACCTTTCATACCTTATCACCAGTGTAATAAGGCTCCAAACCCACTGACTTTGAAGCATGGAAATGAAGAAGTTAGAAAATATGGCTGAAACTTTTCAACATGTTAAAATATGGTGAGGGTATTAGTGGAGGTATTAATAGGAAGCTATGGTACTGCTCTCAGGGGAAAATAAAAGCTGTGTGAGAAGCAATTTTCAGAGTTTTTTTGGGCAGAGAGGTGGCAGCAGCAGTTAAGGTTAGGGTGACTGAAAAGCAACCAAGACCTTTAACAACTACTCGTCTTTCTGAAGTTGAGCAAAATATTTATTTTGAGCTCTCCAGAGAAACCAAGTGTTGCCTTGTGCAATTCCAGTTACTGTCACACACAGCTACTTGGAGGCAGATGCAGAACTGAGCAGGGTTCTCTTCCAAGAAGTGTTGACTTAGAAGGATCCCAAAGTTCACACCTAGCTACTAAAACCCACACTTACCAAATATGAACATTTGGAGTGATTTTAAGAGCTTACACAATACACAGCAACAAATATGTACTGGTGGACTCCCTTGAAATCTGGACCACAGAAGGTTATCATAGGCTCCACAGCTGAAAAGGACATTTAGTTCTGAAGGACATTCTACAGAGCATAAACCTAAAAGCCTCACTAGAAGTCCAATAAGTCTCCAGACAACTAGTACCCTAGTTATGACACTGGGTTGAATAGAGCTGAGATTACCAGTATGTGACTTTTGTATCACTGTGTCACCTGGCCAGTTCAAAAGGAAGAGTTGGAATAACCTGCCAGATAACCATTGCAATAGGAGCTAAAGATAAACAAATTAATGGAGATGCTATTTTAAGTACAGGTGCTCTGCCCCATCTGCAGTCTGACAGGATCTGACTAATGAGAGCTCCCTGTAGTGATAGTGTGTCAATGAACAAACCAACCTGGGTGTGTTGTAACATATAGTTTACAGCTTCTTCAAAATATTCCAGGTGTAATTCGTTCATATCCTTGGGGAGATCATCATAGCTGTAGAAAGCCAGAGCCAGCACAGCAAAGCCATGGTTGGCCAACAGACATGCCCTGTATTCTGGGAGTCCTCCTCCAGTTCCATACAGGTCAATAATTCCTGGAAAGGGGCCATTTCCTGCAGGAGAACACATAACAGGACACATTAACCTGCAATTTTAAATTTATATTCCAAATTCATAGGCCTGGGAAAGTAAAGAAAAGAAGAAAAAGAAAAGCAGCAGAGTGGTACTAAGTGTCAAATTACTGTGCCAGGTTTCAGTAAGTACTGAAGTACTTGAGTACATAAGGTTCCAGAGACATGCTTGGTGAAAACCTCTGGGTCACAGGGGAAAGGTGGGATGTAGTGGTGCTGCAGCTGCTACAGATCACTCAACCACAAAGAGGCAGGAGATGAGAACTCTTACAGACAAGTAGCAGAAGTCTGTACAGCTGCTGGGAGGACAACACAGCATTTGGTCAGGCAACCTGAAAACCTCACAGACCCTCTCAGTGATTATTTTCTGAAAAAAAACCCAACCCATAAGAGAAAACCTATCTAATGCTTTACTTGATCTTCTGCTCACAAATGGGGAAGAACTGGCAACAAATGTGGTAGCAAAAGGCAGCCAGGTCTGCAGCAACTATGACATGACTATGACATTCAGGACCTGTGGAGAGGATGGGAAGGGATGCAGCAGGCCTATGACTCAACTTTTCAAGAGCAACCTTCAACTTACTCAAAGAGTTACTATCTGAATTCCCTTGGAAAACAGCCAGGTAGAGCATAGGTAACTTGAAGCCTGGCTGATGCCACCCCCCACGGCATTTGGAAACAAAAATGGTACTGCCATCAATGCCCTCGTGTCCAACAGTCAGTAAAACAAACTCCCATGCGTTTTAGCCCAGGCAGCTGCGCTACGCGAGGAGTGCGGCCAACGGACCAAAGCTGGTCGGGCTGATCAGGCTTTGAAGCGATCCAGCTCCCCATTGTCCTCAGGGGGAGTCCAGAGGGGGTTTGGCTCCAGCTGTGGGAGCTCCTTTCGCGGGGGAAGGGGCCCGGCACGGTCGGTACTAACCGGGGGGCAGGAAAAGCGTCGCCCGGATCCTCCCCTCTCGCACCGGGACTCTCCGCACCCCGTCGCGCAGGAACGCCCGCTCATGCTGCGCCTGGGCCAGGAGCCGCCCGGGGGGCTCCCGGTGGCCCTCCAACACCTCCAGCTGCAGGAGGAAGGGCCTCTGCACGTCCTTCTTCACCAGCCGCCAGAAGGGCGTCTGGGGCTGCAAAGCCCAGAGCAGCCCCATGGGCTCCAGGCCGGAGAAGCTGCCCCCCGGCAGCGCGGGGCAGCGGGCGAGGTCCAGCTCCCCGTCGTCCCCCGCCTGGTAGCGGGCGCGGGCCTGGAAGAGCTCGCCCGTCTCGTCCCGCAAGGACGCCCGCAGCGTGACCTGCTGCCGCGGGCCGAGGCCCCGCACGGCGATGGCCAGCGGC